AGTAATTTATAAAATGTGTTTACAAAGTTTTATTAAGGAATATGAATGGTGAATATATAATATATTAAAAATAATAGATAATAATTCTAATCTTGCATTCATTAAGAGAGTTATGATGTGAGGAGGTGTGATATGTTTTATGTAACGCATTGAATTTAATGCACTTAATCCAAACTGTGTATGCGTTTTGGGCATAAATCTCATCCGCTAAAAATTCCGGATATTTAAACAGGTGAAGATGTAACACATCAAATCGAACGGAGAATAAAGTTAAGCACTTGTATTTTGCTATACTCCGTTCTTTATCATCTCTCTATATTTATGTATCACTAAATAAGTTTCTATTCCCTATAGTAATGATTTAATGTGAATTATATGATATACGGTTGCGCTATTTATTACATTGATAAATCGATTCAACTAACATAATAGTATTATTAATATAGTATTATTAATATTACAGTAAAAAATTAAAATTACAATACTAATATAACATAAAGGCGTATATAATAGATTGGTTGCCTATAAATTTTTTATTTCAATTCTTTCTTTCTGATTTCTGTGGCGTAAATCTTGGCGCGCAGCGTATATAAATATCGGAGTTACTTTATTGTATGAATTTCATTTCAATTTATTAGATATTGTATAAAATATTTAAAAAGTATTAAAGTAAAATACTTTTTAACCGTTTAATGTAAAATTGATGTGATAATTAATAAACGCGATAAATATATGATTAGTAAAAGAGGGACGTATTAACGTGTTCTCACTTATCAGCTGTAACGGACATTTGAAAACGGACAATCCACTCAAAAATACTTCCAATGGAAAAATGAGTGTTGAAAATGAACAATCCACTCAAAAATATTCATAGTGAAAAAACGAGTTTTGAAAACAGACAATTCACTCAAAAATACTCATACTCGCGTATACGTTTCTCGTTTATCAGCAGAAAAACGAGTATTGAAAATGAGTAATCTCCTCAAAAATACTCATACGCATACTCGTTTATACTTGTTATCATTCCTCGCGACATCACGAGTGCTTGTGAGTGCAAGAAAAGGGCAGGAACGGGCTAAAAATAAGTTAAAAACGGGTTAAAAACAGTCCATATGAGGTCTAAAAACGGTGAAAAATTTTTATAAGGATATATAAATTAAATAAAGAAGTTTACGCGTCATATACGTATAATATATATATTTTTTAAATATATACTATTATAAAGTGCATCTACAACCGCGCGTTTTACTCTCATCATTTGCTTAATTAATTAATTTTATTGAAGAATGAACTGTTTCCTATTTTTCATATTTCGCCGTAAACGATATTTGTTTATAACTTTGCAATAAAGCATTTTTAACCAAACTTCCTATAACATTTTCTTTATTTTTACTTTCAGAATATACTCTCGCAATTTATCCATTAAATCTTGAGACATTCTCTCTCTCTCTCTCTCTCTCTGTGCGTGCGTGCGTGCGTGCAAGTTATATTATATATTAAGAATTTTATGAAATTTTCCGCCATAATGGATTTACCACCTTACAATTTATCATGTTAACATCAAATTCATATTTAGCAATCTCGGAAACATTATTAAACAAAGATATACGTAATAAGATTAATACAACTTATTTCATTACAATTTTTGTATTATATTAAATCCGTGAATTTAAACTCAAAGATTCTAACGTCAAATTTGTATCTTATGATTTAAAAAATCCTTATTCTTATTATATGTATATAAATTTTTATCTAAATCAATACACTGAAGTATCCTTTGGGACTACTTTTGCATTTTGAGCATTTTGAACATTTTCCCTCAAAAAATTAATAAAGGTAAAATTATACAAATACGTAGAGTAATAGGTAACGTCAGACAAAAATTGAGAGATTATAGATTATATTTCAATAAAAAAAGCAAAAGTTTAAAATAAATATTGCACTTGTACTTATAAATTAGAATTGAAGAAATTATTTAAGAGGAAAATTATTTAAAATAGAAATCGTAGAAAACTATTTAAGATTTAAATAATTTAAAAATGATAACTGAATTGGTAATCATACATGGAAAAAATAGTTTTATCAAAATATAATATATAAAAATTTAGTTAAATGCAACTTTAGCTGGATGGAGGATCAAAGAATTTGCTTTTGCAGATCGAAACTGGCAGACGATTCTCTTGAGTATATTTATGCTTTTCCAGACTATAACTATGCTATTAACAGTTTAGTCAACAAATAATTTTCTCGTTAACTTCTAATAAATTTTAATGTAGACTACCAAAGCAGTCAATTTTTTCTTTCTTCCAAGTGTTCCAACAATTCCAAGTTCAAACTTTCTCATTCGAGTAAGTTTGAACGTTCACGCTTTCGCGAGAAACAGACTGGCACGATCTATAAAACGATATTTTAGTGGCTCATCACTCTGTGAATAAAATGCTGATCTGTGAATGAAATATTGAACTATCGGAGAAAGTCAAGCTCGATGCGTCGACGAGTGGCATACAAAAATCTTGAATAAAATGTTCGAAAATTATTATGTTCATTCGATACAAACGTAATACATCACGACATGAATGATTCTTTATTGGAATCTCCAATATGAGTTTGACCATTTCTTTTTTCCCCGATATGGATATCGGTACCACAAGCATCAATCCTCTTGAAATATAATTATTTAAAATACAAGGAGTTAAAACCCGCTTAACTTTTCTTACATACATTGTTGGGAACAAACTTTACTACATGTTCGATGTTGGTTAGATCATTAGCGATTTTGTCATTGTGATCTATAAGCACCTATATACTGCTGTCATCGAGATCTTAACGAATAACGGACGACAGCAATAAATTTGATTGGTCTGGTAAATTGTCCGAGAAGGAAGAGGCCATATTCCGTCCACTTCTTCATAATGGCCAATTGTCGCCCGGCGGAATCAAGCGACATGACCATAAGTAAACAATAAAATCGTTTTGGAGACGGTGGTCACATAGCAACTACACAGAGAGAAAAATGTTTGGTATTTGTAACTATAATTATATATTACTATAATTATGATTATTACTGCTATAATAATAATAACAGTAACTATATATATAGTTCCAACAACAAATGTATATAATTGGCAACCTAAAATGACTATAATTATAGTTGTTATAACCATAAAATAGTTGAAATTACCATAAAAATGATTCAAGTGATAATTTTATAGTTATATTTTGGGACAACCATATTTTTTGTGGTTGTCCCAAAATATAACTATAAAATTATCACTTGAATCATTTTTATGGTAATTTCAACTATTTTATGGTTATAACAACTATAATTATAGTCATTTTAGGTTGCCAATTATATACATTTGTTGTTGGAACTATATATATAGTTACTGTTATTATTATTATAGCAGTAATAATCATAATTATAGTAATATATAATTATAGTTACAAATACCAAACATTTTTCTCTCTGTGTACGTCGTTATTTCATGGCAACACTCGTGCTAATCTCCTTTAATTGCTAATCGCTCTTCCACTTATTTTAACGCTTCATATAAATATTTATCAGTTTCGTTATAAAAGAGTCAAGAGGTATTCTGTAAGTCAAAGTAAAAACTTGACACGTAGTGAATTGACTCACAGGTCGCATTAAGATAGTCAACGTTTTAGAAACTTCGGAATAATTTCTTAAGCCTACGTTATATAATATATTTTAATATATATAATTCCCCCTCGTCGTGCTATTCGAAAGAGAAATGTGCCGTTAAACATATAATAAAATTAAGCAAATGACAATATCAATGATTTTTTTGCAGCTTTGTCCAGCCAAAGAATAGCTTTACAAGTTTATGGAGACACAAATTTCGAAGCTTTATTCTACCAAAGAGGAGCAATAACACATAAGTAGCAATAATATGTAATACATATTAACAATAATTTATAAGACGAGCAATATACGTGAAGCGATCTCCTTCCATTGAGAATACATTCAGACGTATCGAAACTCTAAAAAAAATCAAATATCTCGATAGAACATATATCAAGGAAAACTATTGAGCGATTCTCAAATGAAATTTTGCAAATCTGCTTCATCGAGCCCGAAAATGGAACTACTTTCGAAACGTTCTTCGAGCAGCAGAATATCGACCTTGAAAAGGTCGAGATCCTTCCGAGCGTCTATGAAACTGATGTCAAAGATACGCAATCATGCCAATCTGCGATTGACCGCTGGCTTCGATCTCTCATCTGTCTCAAAAGATCTCGTCGTTAAGAAGGGATGCAACTTATCTGTCCTTGAAGAATTTCAAGACGGTGAGAAGAGTGTACGAAAAGGTTCTGAGGATATGAATTCTTGCATCATGAATAAAATCGATAATGAGGCATCTTCAAGTCCTCGGAAGATCTCGGTATCAAATCTCGATGCGGATTCGCGAGAAATTACAAAGGATCTAAAGAGTAAGCTGTTTCTAACTGATAGGCTAATGGGTACGGATCGTAAGAACGTGGAGAGACCCTGGATGAAGGACGAAGATGTAAAATTACCGAAGCTTATTCACATTTTTCGCAGGAGACATAGCATAGGAAGTTCGCAAGAAGATACTCGAGAGAAAGACTGTAGTGACAAACATGAGTCCTGTGAAACAAACACAGATGGACTTAATAAATACGCATTTTATGAGAATCCTACATTCGTGCTAGACGGTTCCTTGGATTCCTCCGTCTCGAGCTTCCTCTATGAAGTCGGAGAAGGGAACGAGATGAAACAAATGCAAAAACAAGATGAACGCGCTGCGTCATCCAAATGCAATGTCTTGACCGTCGTCGTGGATTCCCACAAGACCCCAATTAACCGGCCCTTCTGTAAAACGAATTACGACCAAAACAAAGATAAGGACGAAGAATACCTCGAAAAACCATCACAAAACACATTTCTTTCTAGATGTGAGACCGAGCCTTTGAGACGTTCTTGCGAAATGAGAAGCAACAACTCGCATGCGATAAACATCATAAATGGAAATCGAAGGACGACCGAATCATTGAGTGAGTTTGATCGCCTAAGGATTAAATTTTATTGCAAGATACACGAGATGGAAAGAAAAAATGCAACAATCTGCCTACAGAATCAGAAAATTCACGACGACGCTAAAATATATCCTTCAAAGTCCTGTAAAGGCAGAACGGTAGATAATATCACAAACTTTTGGACAAATAGACGTGGTAATAGTTTTCGAAATAAAATGACGACTGGTAGAAAAAGAGACATGAAGGAAATGAAGAATTACGAGCGAATTGGTCAGGAGCGAGTTTTCGTGTCGACCTCATCAGGATCAAGTACGCTGGATTAATAAGTTTTCTAATTAGTCAGTGGTGTGCCAGGTGTAATTAATCACTTCTTAGGAAGTTAGTTCAAGTTTTCACACCAAATTATCGGTTTACTTGTTTTCTCTACGATATTGATGAAGAAAGGGAGTCTACATTATATCTGATGTAATAATGCATTTAACTTTTACTGGTTCACGACAAAACGAATCAATAAATATCGTGAAAAGATATAAAAAGAAAGTATGTTAAACGTGAAATAAAATGGTGAACCGTAAAGCATTGTAGAACGTCACTGATGTGAGAAAATTTATAGTTGTGAAAGTAGCTTAAGGCTCCTGAGTAGATACCATAGCCATATTGAATCGTAACATCAGAAGCAAGAAATGATTCGTTAATTTATGTTGCATGCCATTTGTAAATAAAGACAATTTGGATGAAACAAAATGATAAGATTGCTTTAAAAAATTTGTAAAAATTGACGAAAGCTATACTTATCCTCCCTAACAATCAATAAATAATCATAAAGAGTGATAAAAGGCACATGCAAGTGAAAATAAGCTACGCATGCGCATTGAATAAAAGCACTTCATGTGCCTACTTTTACGATTCTTACGAATCACTTTTACGATTATTTACTGACTGTCAAGGGAGATAAACATAGTTTTCGTCGATTTTTACAAATGTTTTAAAGCAATCTTTTCATTTCGTTTTATCCAAATTGTCTTTACTCACAAATGGCATGCAACATAAGTTAATGTGTTATTTCTCACTTCTGACGTCACGATTCAATATGGCTATGGTGATTACTCAGGAGCTTTAAGTAAAACGTATGAACTGACATTGTAATATGATGAACAAAATAATTCAAGAAAGAAACAATCAAGATCTCTCTCTCTCTCTCTCTCTCTCTCTCTCTTACATTTTCTAAATTGTTGCTTTTTTGGCAAACACTTAAGACTTTATTTCTCGTTCCATAATAATTACTTAAAACATTTCGCCAAGGTATAAAATATTGTTAGCTATCATTATAACGATAGATGAATTGTGTTTATATTAGACATAAAAGTCGAAAATTTAATAAGTATTAAATAACACAGGTCTACAAAAAAGGGGGTCTTGGATGTTGTCGGGAAGCTGTGGGTCATTTCCGAAGTAATTTTCTGCGTAGAATCCGAATCTGAAACCAGAATTGGCCCATCACGTCAGGATTTTGAGATATTAGGGGATATATACTCGAAAAATGCGTTTTTATGCTACTTTAGAGGTTATGTACAGGACGCAACCAATTTTTTGGGTCTTTTGTGCTATTTGCATCATTTAGTAATATTCTTACCCTTCAAAATGAGATATTGATCGACTACCTACGATTTTTTTTCGCCAAGTTACGGGCATTTTAACCCACTTGCGTAACCGTTTTTCCCGTCTTTTTCGTTCCTGTTCTTAACAAACGTGAAACGACCACAAATATAACAAAAACTGTTAGGATCATTTAAACACTTACGCGGGGCCATTGTTAAGACAGCAAACAGTCACAATTGTGACTGTTTATATATTAGGACCTTGAATAACGGACAGCGCGTCTTGTGCGCTGCGGCTCTGAGTGCAAGGCGTCTACCAACTTTAAACAAATCATTAGTTTTAAACTTATTAATGCAATGAAAATGAAACTTTCCAGAACATTTGTTCATATCCGAATGAACAACTTTCTCGCTGAAAGTTTTAGGATGCTCGAAATTCGCTCGATAAACGAAGCACCTGAATGCATAAAAAAGGATATTTTGCAGGTGTGTATAAAAAAAATAATAAGTTGTTTGTTTATTGACAAATATCGGTTTTTCTTTCTTCACTAGACGTGGAAAACTCTAATGATCATAACTTCGAAAATAGCAAAAAAACGCATTTTTCGAGTATATATCCTCAAATATCTCAAAATCCTGACGTGATAGGCCAATTCTGATTTCAGATTCGGATTCTACGCAGAAAATTACGTCGGAAATGACCCACAGCTTCCCAACAACAAAACCTTGTTGACCTGTGTAATTAAAACAAGGATTTACTTCCTCAAGATATACATCAATCTTTTTACGATTCCTTCAAATTTCTTTTGTTTTATGCATTTATTGCTTATTTATCCGATTTGCAATGTTTCACTTATTTAATCATCATTTATTTATTTTGCCTTATTTTTTCATGCGCGCAGAGTTCCACTCGTTGCAAGGGATGGAGTTCCTAGAAGGTTTCGGCAAGAAGAAACATCAGCCCCACCAACTAAATAATCTATCGTCAATACATATCAATCCCCTCTCGGCCCAATCACTCAACATACACCTGCATGGTATTTTATTTTTATCGATTTTTTATTTTAATTTCTCAAACGCTTCTTTATTTGTGCCAAACTTATTCTTGTCACATCAAAATCATATTAAATTAGAAATAATCTTGATATTGTGTGTGTTATCATTTTATTTTTAGCTCTATTTGCGGCTGTGGAACATGGTCACTTGGATAAAGCCAGGACTATTTTGGAGTCTACAGATGTAAACATAAATAGGTGAGTGGCTATTTATGTTATAATACATACACACACGTATACAGGGTGTTCCAGAGCGACCGTATTAGGCTAATTTCTAGAAAAATATGCATTTTCGTGAAGAATGTTTCAGACAAAAGTTTGTCGACTTCGAGGGAGACATAAGAAGGTACCATTAATTTGACCTTGAATGGCGTCGCCAAAGCCTGGTTAAGGTCACGTCGATTTTTTTAAATAGAACCCCATATTTTTCATTACATTTTCTTGTAGCTAACCACGAGAACTTTACAAAACATTATAATAAAATATTTTTTCATGTAGTACATTTCGAGTTATAAGGCGTGAAAGTTACAATACAGGCGGCATTAGCATTACGCAAGTTGTCCAATCGATGGCTAGAACTTCTTGAATGTTATTTAGGATCATGTCCTGGATAACATTTGTCAAGATCAAGGCCATTGGAGATTATTCCTCTTGTTTTTATTATTGTTCTAAAAATTCATTTTTACGTAAAAATGAAAATAAGAAGTGCAACTTCCAATGGCTTTGATCTTGACAAATATTATCTAGGACATGATCCTGAACAATATTCAAGAGGTTTTAGCTGTCGGTCAGTTGCGTAATGCTAATGCCGCCCGTATTGTAACTTTCACGCCTTATAACTCGAAATGTACTACATGAAAAAATATTTTATTATAATGTTTTGTAAAGTTCTCGTGGTTAGCTACAAGAAAATGTAATGAAAAATATGG